GGTCTGCATTTATCGGGAAAAAATCTTAACACACCTCGCAGACGGGGTCTGATACTTCGGCCAACAGCGGAAAGATCCAATTGCGCGCGCAAATAAAAACGCTTTCATAAAGCTAATATAATTTTTGTATTTTAAAGTATGTAAACTTTTATACTTTACATTTTATATTTTAAAGTATGTAAACTTTTATACTTTAAATTTTATATTTTAAAGTATGTAAACTTTTATATTTATGTGAATTTTTATATTTTAAACTTATAAAGTACGTAAACTTGTCTTTTGTCGTACTTTCAAACTTTTGAAACATTATATAAAGAAGAGGTTTTACATATTAACAGATACAAATAATAATTAACTTACGTTATGCCCTAAAGCGCAGTTTTACGCGTTCTGCCAGCAAAGTGTTAACACACTAAATTCCGGTCAGTGGGCGACCTGTTCTCTCGTAACATTATCCCAGTTACGGAGAAATCGTCTCTTTGGCGCCTCGATTTGTCTGCATTACCAGCTAGAGTTATTCTACCTCAATTAATCGCTAGTTCAAAGCGTACCGTCGTTTCGTATGTAACAGCCAGGTGCAACTTTCATTAAACACTCGTGAAATTATCTTGTATTTGAGTACGCGTACCGAGCTGCCGGCGCTGCCGTTGTATTATATCGCCATGAAATTCAGACTCATTAAATTACCCGTGCTACACGTATATTATAGTTATACGCTTGCATTATATTTTGCAGTATATTGACGTTTAATTAATTATATGAGAAACATGTACATGATTGATACAGTTTGAATCAGTTTTAAAGCTAAAATAAAAATGAAAGCTATATACATTTCTCCTCTGTAAAGATTAATTACTTGATAAAGCAGAAAGAGAACTCTGAGAGTTATAGATTATGAAAAGGGTTGATTAATTTACATCCGATCAGTGATCAAAGATGTTAAAAAAAGATACGTATCAAGATTAATATAAGAAAAAAACTAAGGTAAAATTATAAGAGGGAAAGTAGAAAGAGTTTAATAAATTAAAGGAGAAAGTGTACTTATTTTTGCAAAAGAATTTATTTGTTAACAGATATTGTATGTCATTAAAAAATTGAAGTGACAATTTTTTAATAACGTACAAAAGCAATGTTACATATAAATATATATATATTTTTATATTTATGCACGTTTTGTTGCATAAACTCATGCTATCTTTAATTATTCGACGATTTCATATACTTACTTTTTTAAGTTCGGCAAACAACTTCTCAAGATGCGGCACAAATGTTCTAGACAATCCAATTATAGAAATGATTGATGGTAGCATTAATAGTTTTAACAACTTTCGTTTTCATATACATTCTATTCTAATATACCATACAATGCAATTTTGCAAGCCAGGAACATGCCTTTTATGTTATGCCGCACTGTCCGAAGAGATCTCTATTGGATCGTAAGAATCACGGAGCGTGAATAATGTTGTGTGGGATCATCGCGACGTGCAAAAAGTTATTCACGTCGTATGATCCGCGCCGGCTTCACACGTCCTACAAGAAACTATGATGGAGACTATGATGGATAAATTATTTTCTTGCAAGCGTCCCTTTCTCGTAGGTCATGTAAGGAAAGCTGTGTTTTCTTCAAACTTCACATGTAGACTGAAAAATGTCAAAACGTTAAAACGCCCGTGACTGACGACCAATCATCTTTATAACAAGATAAGATCATAATTACTAATAGACAAAGATATAATTAAGAACCAGCAATACTTTATATTTGTACTTTGTAATTTAAGCCAAAAGGAGGATAAATAATACAATCTTCTACACTTCTGAACAGAGCACGAAAATAGATGACCTTATCAATTTTTTTCACGTGTGGAAATGAAATCCAGTACAGCGACATTGATAGTCATCAGAGAAAGGACACGTTGAGTCGAGGTCACTACAATTCGTGCCTTCACTTTTTGAGAAGCATTCAATAGGGATTCGAGTTGTACGTGCACGGCAATTACCAATGAAATACGCACGTCACATCGTCCACTTAACATTTTGCTTTGTAAAACGGCATTAATTCTAATAGATGAGGAGTTACTGATATATGTACATATATTTGTGATTTTATGATTTATTATATGTACATAATTTATTTCTTTCTGAGCGGTGATAAGTTCTAATTATAGCTTTAATTTAATATTCATCAGAATGTACGAGAATCCACGTGCGCGCGCGCATCCGCACACACACACACGCACACACATGCGCAAAAAGTTTGCTTCCCATTAGTTTATAGCTTATGATGTGAAGCACGGCACTTTGTTAGGCCATCTGGCTCGCGTGTACGTGGCTGTATTGGCTCTGCCTTTTTTAAGATGATATACAATTATGATCGAAGGCAATTACTATACGTGTCATTTGCGTACAGGGTAACGGGTATCGAACGGGTAGGAACAAGTAGGTTAGCAAAAAATTAGTAATGGTTAGCCGAGATCTTAGCCGTGCATACCTCCACAATGATAATGTGCTTTTATGGTGCTGATCATGCACCTGGTATGACGAGTCTGGTTTCCCCGTTGAAGTACGTTCATTAGCAGTCGTGTCGGGCAAGCACGTGGTGATCTATAATGCTGATCGGACGCGATCGCTCCGCATATGCGCGCATGGAATGGTCATATCGCAGCGAAAATTTTTCACACGCAATGATTAGTGGCGCCAATCGACTAGCGCCAGTAAAAATGCAAGTGTAAACACTTGATACAAACTGGCGCTAGTAATGTGGCGTTTACTGGCGGTTTATTGGCCAAAGCATAAAACCTCAAAATTTGAGGATATATACTTGCTGTCATTTACTATGTCATTTAATTAATAAATGTTAAATATTTTCCATATTATACGCCAACAGCATCACTGTGGGAGCTTTCCAGCAAGCGACACAAGTCGACACGACGTCGTTCTATCTTTCTTTTTTGGCAATGAGTAACAAAGACAAAACGACACTTGTGTCGCTTGCTGGAAAGCTCCCTGTGTAAACACTTGTGTGCCAGTCGGTTTCTGGCGCCAATAAATGCCAGTCAGTTGGCGCCACTAATCATTGCGTGTTTAAACTCTCCTTCATATCGCAGCGAACGTTACGAACTACTGCAATTCGGTAAATTCACAACCGTATTGATGTTTTCACATAAAGCTATCTCACTGTAAAAACAGTTTGGAAAATTGTAATGACATTTCAGTCACATATATAAAAGTGAGATTTCCAATAAATAAATGTAAAAGGTTTTAATCGCGCTGCAAAAGGACATTTGTGACGTGATAACAAATATTCTTCTAACAGCACGAGGACATTTTATTTGTTGTACGCTTTTATACCCGCAATAAATGGCAGTTTGCAATTTTTGCGAGAACAATAACATCAATGAAGATAGACAATTATTTTTATATATAGATATACGATATAATTTATTTTATATACTCGTACAAGTTATAGTCAAAATCATAAACAACACGTGATATTAAAACGCATCGATTATTCTATATAATATTTGATAATACTAAATGACGTGAATATTTTCATATTTGCATGACTTTACTAATCGTGCATTGTGAGTGCAAATACCAAAAATGGCAATTAGGTAAAGTGCTTTGTAGATGAAGAATTGTTGTCGGCATTACGCGCGACACTGAATTACCTCGCCACTTTTGCGCGGTGAAAGCTAATTTAACATAATCATTTCCCCTTCCTTTCTCTATCTCGCCTGCCATTTACCGCTATCTCCTTCTCCATCTTCATCTATCTCGAGAGGACTACCTAAACGACATTACATAATTTAGTTGGAAAAGTATATTAGGTATTATACACACGCGCGCGCACAAGAAGCAGGCAATTCAAAAGGCAGCTAGATTATTGCTAAGATTGCAACCGTCTCTGATATACGAAAACTTATACGTTATGTCATTTTGAACGTGACATTTTTTTTACGTGAATGAAGATTTAACTTAATCATTGCGGAAATGCGGTTTTTATGAGTGAAATTCTAATACGCACAGTATTACATTTTTTATTGCAAATATAACTAACTCGACGATATTACATTTTGTGCTGTCATAAATATTGAAAAATAGTACAATATAAATAATACAGATGGTAACTTTTCTTGTAAACCGTACAAGCATATTGATGCACCGAGTGATGCACATAGTCCAATATAGTTGTGCACGTGCCAATGAAATCGATTGTAAAGAAACAGCCAATGAATGCATGCATTGTTGAACAAGAATCGAAGTTCGAGCGACTTGTGATTGAATCGCCGAACCATAAAGAGAGAAGTCTCTTTATTCCGTACAAAAATTGTCACCCCGTGCTTATTCAAAAATCGATCGCCGATAAAGGGAAAGGTTAAACGTCTCGCGCTTGTCATTAGTTTCGGAACTTTATTAATTCATCAATGTTATTATCATTCTGTCGCTTATGATATCATCGTACGAGTCAACATTTAAAATTATAGGTCAGTAACTAAAGTTACTGCTATCTGCAAAATACGATAGCATTTATTGAAAATAAAGCAATGAGGGAATGAGTTCAGGGAATGAGTTCGAGAAGTTATTAACCATTGGCGGATAGCGCTTTTAATAGGAAGTATCTCGCTTATTAGTATAACGTATAAAAGTGTCAACAGGATATGAAACTCGTACACAATATCGTTAAGATGAGCGATATTGCCTATTTGTAACAGAGAACCTCAGTTGCCTCCCGGAAATTGATGGAATAACAATATTTGATTGTTTTATGACTCACATTTTATAGCTATTATATGTATGTCGACGAAAAATACATGTACATTGTATATTAATAAATCATATACTGAAATATGTCATAGTGTGAGGTAATAGAAGTAATCATCTTACTATCGTAAAGATCTCAATCTGGGATAGAATTTTAATATTTGGTTTAATCTAACAATAAGAATTGTTTGGAATTCTATTACAACCTCTTTGACAACATATACCACGTCCCATTTCAGGCTTACGTGGAAAGAGAAAAGGGCAAAGTGGTGCTTTACACAACATCGCTGGGCATTGTTAGAGAAACCTTTACCAATTGTATGAAGATGAAGCAAATGTTGTGGACGAACATGGTCAAGTACGACGAAGCAGATTTATTCCGCGACACAGAATTACAGAGCGAACTAAAGGAACGAACCGATTCAGAATTCGTAACATTGCCACAGCTCTTCGTCGATGGACAATATATTGGGGTATGTATGCATTTTTAACTCAAAATTATTGAAAAAATTGAGTAATGGAAGGAAAGTATTAGTATAAAAAAAAATTGATAATTTAAACAATTTAATCAAACCGGAAATGAAGATAGAACTTGATTTCGATTTAGAAGTGTTAATTGAGGTAGGAATTAAATATGGAAAGATGTTATCGAAAGTTGGGCAAATAATTTAATAAATCCATTGCATGAAGCTATGAGTCGTAGCTTTGAAAACGTTATGATTTAAAAATACTTATATTTACATTTACAAAATCATAATTGGAACATTAATGCGCATTATATCAGCATTAATTGATCATTTACTGCAGTATTTTCACTAATAAGATGTATGATTTAGATCGAAAATTGTGTTTCGTAATTATATTTTAAAATTAAATATTCGGGACGTAAACGCTTTATACAAAAGATTACATAATAAAACGTGAGCAGCTGGCGTTGCGTTGAACGTTCCGTCATCTGCGTTTGACATTCGTCAACTAAGTTATTTTCTTCTTAGCGGCAGTATCGATCTCGCTGTCTCTCAGCCCTTTCACAGGTAAAATAACTTCTAATAAGAAAAGTTATATTGCGCATACTAGCATTCGTATACTCTATGATCCTTTCGAATCCATCCTCTTACGTTTTATGAAGAATTTGTACAAGGCCGATGACGCATTATGCAACTCGGGATATTCGACATCGAGAAAGTCGGGAGATGAATGACGTGAAATGTCAAAGATAACTGTCGAGCGAAAATTCGATAAATGTACGAACGAAAATTTAATTTTAAATTGCATCTGTTCTGCGGGCATAATGCGAATAAATGAGTCAATAACGGGAACAGTACACTTAAATTTGTCATATAATAGAAATTATTATTTCCGTACTTAATTAATAAAAAAACGAAGCATATAAAATCCAACGGTTAGCTATACCATACGAATAATACGAAGAATGACTGAACGAAGAGAAGTAAATGAGAAATATTTTATTTTAAAGAAATTCTATCATACATATCTTCGGAACTATACTCTCGCATATATACAATGACAAGATGCGATAGCGAAGATAGCAAAGTATTCTGTTTCAGCATACAATTCTCAGGTGTTCTAGAGTGTCGTGTTACACAGATCTTCTTACGTTGCATCTCCAGTAGAATTGTTATTGAAACATGGAAAAATGAAATAGAAAAGTTAGAGACGACAACAAGAAGTTATTTAACGTACGAAATATCGAATTCCTTGTATAATGCATCGGTTCTTCGTAAAAAAATACAAGTTTTCGTAATTTTTTATGTATTAACCGCCGATATATTCTGCTGATTTTAATAAATATTTATTTTGAAAAGAAATATGATTCACATAACTAGATTATAATTTGTAATGATTATTCGTCTAATTAGATACTGGAGTAACAATTGAGAGATTACTTAATCGCGGCGAGAATAAGCTATTTAGGGAATTAGCTACAACAAACAATCATTACCGCAGCGGTCACTTAAATATTACAGCACTTGGGAACGACCGCGAGCATATGTGTTCCCATTGTACATAGTTCGTAATTGCTCTCATTCACGATGGAGGTAATACAAGTTTGTATCATGTGCGACGTAAGATGCCTTTATATACCTCCATAAAAGAGCATGTCGCTTTTATTGCGATGCGGTAAAGATCTTCGTAATCATGAGCTTCAGCTATATTCGCGTACTTTTTCCGAGATGATGAAGTCACAGCGATATATTTCGATCAAATTATGAATATACACGATAAAAATGTCAATTGCTCATATCTCGAGTGTGGTTTTAGGATATGTTGAAATAAAATTTTGTACAGCGTGTAAAAGGAGTTTTTATATTGTAACAAACTTGAAACTTGAAACTGTAAATTATACAATATAAAGAATTAAACAGAGAGCTTTTGCAAATAAAAATTTATCTATTTGACGTACACGATATTCTTGATTATGTTATTTAAATAATTTTCTTAATTAGAGATAATAATTAGAGATATATGTCTGTCTTTTTAATTAAATAGGTATAATATGAAAATGTTAAGTAGGTACTTGTATCACAGTTTTCTCCTTCAGGAATTCTTCTTGAAAACTTATTAACTTATTATAATATCAGTCTTTCTAATAAAAAAATATTGGATAAACAGCATGCTTTTAGCTTTAAGAGTCACACACACACGATTATGCTGTTATTTGATTTTCTCTCTCTCTCTCCACCTCCGTCCGTGGTATCCGTTTCTCAAGAGTTACTTCTAGCAACCGATAGTTGAGAGAACAGATATATGCGTAAGTGAAATGTCAAGCTATTTGATCCAAGGCCGCCGGAGAGAACGCGAGGTGCGATTGCCTGCGTTACACCGTCTTACGGTTGCTGGTGTCTAGCACACAAGTGTATGTATAGACGTAAAGCTACCCGAACTGCATTCCAATCCGACCGCGTCATGCAATTATCTCGTACGAAATAACCGATCGGTGCCGAAAATCAACGAAACATCATTCGAAATGTTCCCGTCGTCGTCCATTTGCCATCAATTTGTATATTATCTCATTTTCTCACCCTTGCCCACATCTTCGTACGACATCTTTTGGCAGTTTACACGGCACGTAGTGAAAGGAGTACATCGTCGCAACTACAATCGCAATAAAACTCCCTATTACGTTACATCAGACACGAGATTACAAGATGCGCACTGACAAGCATCTTTGAAATGTCGCATCGTTTCACTCACTCGTATATTTACAAACGCGTAATACACACATTCTATACCTAATTGTAAATTATTCGCTAAAATACGTGTGTCGTGATACAATTAACTGACTCCCAGGATGTTCAATGGTTGGAAAGATTATCTTTCGGGACGAAAGAGCGAAATTTCCTCCTTGAATAAATCAGCGGCGCGTCAAACTTGTAAACTTGTAAAGTTATCGCGTGCCTTCATTAAAAGCCTCATTAACAGCGGCATGAAAATGTATGATACGGCCATTACCGCGTGGCTGCGCATAGCCGTATTATATATACGCGAGGAACACCGGGGGAAGGGAATAAAATTCACAATAAAATTCTTTCGCTATTCTGCCGCATTCCTCGACGACAGACCAAGAATGTTACATCGCCGCGTCTCCCTCGAAACACGCACCGCGATTTCCGTCTCTGTTCGACAGAGAACTTTTGACGTACGCGCATATGCGACATACCGGCGAGAATTTCTGTTTATGGCGTAGTCGTTAGTGTTAGCGACAGACGAAATGAACGAGGCGGAAAGAAAGCGTCGAACAACTCGAACTCGGTTTAAATGTCGTGCTATTAAATGCCTGCGTTTCACAATTTTTTGTTTTTCTCGTTACAGGGTGTCGACACCGTCGAACGACTTAACGAGTCGGGAGAACTGCGCCGCATACTGGAACCTTACCAGGTAAGCTGATTTTGTCGAGCACGATAGAAAATCCTAGCGCATATCCGTAATATCCTCTTTGCCCCCGAGGTGTACTTTAACACGGTTGTGTTAAATTCGCCCGGCGAAAGCGTGGAATTAATAATCTCTCGTCGGAGTTTATCGATTGACATTGCTCTCAACATGCCCAGTGCATTCTTCTTATACGTTGTGACAATTTCAAATCCGCACGACTGCATAAGAAATTACACTAATTTTAATAACTAGAAGCCGTAACGCGCATTATAGTTAATAAACTCGCGTGATGTTTCGTAAACTTGGCGTATCGAGTTAAAACCGTTCGAAGCGTAGAAATGTTGTACATAACTTCCGCCTACATTTTAAATTTAAATTACTCATTGAATTCTTAGTTTCTGACGTCAAATGTACGTAATATTATCGAAGTCTAATTATATACCTTCGTAACAATTCTAGACTCGAATTAATTACATCATCATTGGAAAAAATAGCATTCCATAACTTTATGAAACAACTTTATGTAACAAGACAATATTTTTAGCTTATGTATTTTAAATTCGAAGCTTCCAAGTAAGTAATAAAAATAACTGATATTCAGAACAGGAATGAAAAAGATTCGATATTCTTTATTCTACCCGGGATTTGTTACGCGTAAGACTATCATCGGGATTCGAATGATTCGCATGGTCGCGTAATACGCCCGCGACGCGTTTATTTCCACGCAGAATCAGCTATCTAAGGTAGACAGGGAGAACAGCGGACTGTGATGAAACGTATAAACAAGACAAGTAGTTGTGAACGCAAGGTTGTACGGTCCTTTCACTTTTATCTGAAATACGTGCTTCTCTCTTTCTCTCTCTCTCTCTCTCTCGTTCTTTCTCTTTCCGTCTAACCGCCCACCTCTTTTTCCATCGTGATCATAAATTTTGTCGTGCAATTCAGGTTTACCTTGCTGCAACTAAAGGTCGTTTACATCTATGCGGCCATTGTTATTTCTGTGTCGCATACCAATCATATATCTTGCACGTATACACTCTTCGAATTCATATCCATATGTAATAATTTTATTTACATAATTTATTTAATTTTATTAATATAAATTAATTTTTTAATACAATATAATTTTGTGTATAATGTATAGCAATAAGATCATAAAAGATTCAAATTAGGGTGTATATGTATCGAAAGTTGACAAAATAAAATATTTTTAAAAACGCAAAGTATTAACAATACAATACAATTTCTTAATTTTGAAACTAAATTTATATTAATACATATTATAAGCAAGTGAAAGGATTAATGATACGTTAATCAATTTATATAGCACAAATTAGTTTTTTTTTTTTCTATATATATATGTCAGTCTCAAATGCACCGCGCTTAGTGGATATTTAGATACAAGTTTGATATTCACCCATGAGGTAGTCATTAATCCAAACTCGTTACGTACTCTATAAAGTCGATTTACATTTCAGGTATTAGACTCGTTAGTAACAAGTAAAAGTGAAAGTAAAAACTAGTTTCGTAACGTCAAATAAGGTTCGATGGAAGGTCTGTCCAAACATCGTTGTCACTTTATCCAATTTATTGCTAAAATTTATATTATGAGACCATATCAGTATTTTCAAGTTCAATATGTAAATTTAATATATACTTCATAGAAGACTTTAAAGAAAGATAATTAAGAAACCAAAAACTCATCTAATAAAAAATAATGCTCTACAAAGTATTTGCCTTGTTTTTTAATATTATATACGCCTGGAGTAATATTTGTCTGGAATTATAGTTCACAATAGAAGTAACTTTATGACAACTATGATTTGAATTTAAATTCCTCGGGAATAAAGTTCTCTTCGCCACAGCGAAGATAAACTTAAAATTAGTTAAGGATACTTTTAATCTATTTTACCACAAGCTCAGATCACTTCCATTTTATATAATCGGATTTATATATTAGTAAAAGTCAACGTAATTTGCAAGCATGCGGTAAAGGAAGATACGGTTGCTTCCAATTCAATGAATCAGATTACGGTCGCTATTTGCTGATTTATTTTTCATACGAGCACAAACAGACGAATGGACGTATGATACACTACTCTAATACGCCAGTGAAAAATTTCCCGGCGTGTGGTGCTTCTCTAGAAGCCACTGCGCTAAAATATGTGCTAACTGCTGCAACGAACAATTAGTTATCATTAGTTTTATAATGCGCTTAATTCAACGTTTGCGTTTCAGTGCAAGGATGCATGCACCGTTTGTACCTACTGCGGCGGATTCCAGCGGCTGCTATGTCCCATCTGTCACGGCAGCAAGAGATCCGTACATCGTAACGAGTTCACCGTGGAATTCGTCGCCTTAAAGTGCGCCAAGTGTGACATTTTTGGTATGATACGTTGCCCGCATTGCTGAAGGAGGATTCCGCGAGAGGGGGGGGATCCACGTACATCTGCTCAAATCATTTCTCTTAATCTTAACGACCGTCTACTAACTTATATCTCTATTTAAGGTGCTACGAAGAGTATATTTTATGCTATGCTTTAAGCAAAGGACATACACGAAACGCATACAGACACTAACTAATCGCGTAGCCGCGCTGTCGCATGTTGTAAGATATCGGTTAATAAAACTTTGTGTAAAGTTTTGTAATTTTGTGTATCTCACTGAAACCCTCATCCTTAAATCCGAAAGAGTTGCCTCCGAATTTTCCTATAAAAGTTCCTCCTCGTATGTGCTCTGGAAATAAAGTTTATACTACAATTCCCCACCATATATTTTGCGTCGTTTGTTCGCATGCAGGGTAATTTCAACAAAGTCGCAGGATTAGTCGTCCTGCAACGAGCATCCCAACGATTGTCATGGTAACTAGAGTAGACCGACTGATCTAGAATCTAGAATAACAAACGTACTTTCACTTTGTCCATGAACTAATTAAAAAGGCACAAAACACAGCTGCCGCGCTGTTGTTTCCTCCGCATTTGACATTGTTAAATATAGCATGAAAGGAAACGTCTTTTAATAATAAGAAAGGATCACTACCTGACTTTTCTTAGAATGCTTATTTCCTCACACGTATATAGAAATTAATGACAATAGTAAAACTAACAATACAAGCGCGATCAAACCTTTAAAGTTTAATATACTCTCACATACATCGTTCTTTCCGTACAATCTTCACTTGTTAGTTTCACTTTATCAGAAGAAATACATGAATTCTTTCTAAAAGCATATAAAACAACAAATGAATTGATTATTTATACTTGCAGATCAGATGCTAAGTGAGACAAAATAGCGTACTTGAAACACTATTATTTCATTCATTTAGAAAGAAGAATGTAAGATAGAGAGATATCCGAAAGCCCGTTTGCACGATGGTAACGTTACTTCTATAGTACGACATTTTGTTCTGTCAAGCGTGCGGAGAAAAGCGTTCTCACGTTTTGAGGGGAAAGAATCAATCGGAACGGCGCGCTTTATGCTCTATCACATTTAATTATTTACAGCCCAATTACACGGTAAAGTAAGTCAAGATGCTTCAGAGAAGTGGAGCAAGGCGGATATTACTGTGAAAATTCGGTATAATCGCCTCTCGTACCTATTCACAAATATTTATTTGTATTAATACAATAATTACAAAGTAATATTAAAGTAAAAGCAACCATTACACGATTCGCGCGTAATGTCATTTACGTTCATAAGTATTTTTACTTCCTGACATCGAAATCGAAATCACTAGCTCAACTATATAATTATTTTTTATTTGTGATATTAAAATGCAGTTATATCAGCCTATATAGCGTACTTATTCTCTACTTTCTCCAGAGAAACATGCTTATTATGGCAATTTCAATTTCCCGATAATACACTGTCTCGTAATTCAACGTGAACTACTATATAATACGTTAAAAGCGGCCAAACGTGACATCGGATTACTTATCTTTATTTACACGTGCAACAAGTTAAATCGATACCGCCACTGCTGTTCCTGAAGATATCTACATCAAGAAAGTGACTGGTTTGGATCTCATCTCGAGAGTAATTAGAAAAAATGGTAATTCGTTCTGTGCAAAAATGAGTTTTAAATTTTACGTAAAATTTTTCGAATTAATTTCTTTTTTTTTCACAACTTTAAAACATTTTAAAATGTTACTCTACGGATAAAAATGTCGCCTACTTCTTTTACTCGTGGTCGTTGAATTTCCCAGTTTCAAAAAACAGTGTTATTTCAAATCACATTACCGCGAAGAGAAATTTATTTTGTATGAGCATCAAAAATTAAAACCGTGAAAGTAGGTTTGTGTGATATATGTATTTACTGATACTGAGCGCTATTCCATGTACATACCTATATGTGTCGAAGAGACTGTAGTGGAAATGGGTATACAGACAATTTAAATCGATCGCTGTTCGCTAGCTGCATACTCTTTTACCAGAAATTGATGTACATGGGTGCATCTTGTCGTGCGATAAACATATAAAAATATACAAAAGTTACGGAATTTATATTTAGAGCAGGATTACCTCTTATAATTATAGATATTGTAGTTTAAGTTTTTTCAGCTATAAGATATTTATAATCGACATTTCGGTACGTACAATGGCAATGTTAAAATAGCAATCAGTAAATTTTTGCACAACAAAAAATTAATATTTGTGTTATATAATTTTCAATATTTTTAAAAGTTTATTTTTTCATGCATATTACAAAGCGTTTATTTTAATTTTATGTTATTACAACATTTTTGATAAAATGCGAATTTATTTCTCGAATTCATTTTTATAGCCATTAGCCATTGTATTAAAATCCATGTATTACCTGTAAAATACGAGTGGCTACGTTAATTATAATGTTATAATAAATCAATAATGACTTCCCGAGCAGAAATTTTGGATAGGCCCTAATGGGGACCTAATAAGCATGCCCTAACGCCTGATTAGGAGCTCATCAGGTAGTCCTTGTTAGGTTCCGATCGTAAATGTAACGTTGAGAATTAAAATTACTTGATCATGTTTTCTTTATCAGGGCCTTGTGACTACCCCTTGTTGCGCCTTACATTTTCTAACAGAATGCTGGTACACCCCAAAAAAAATATTATTACTATTTTTTAACTAAATTTGTTTCTTAAGATGCAGTCTATGATTATAAATATTTTCTCGTATTTGAAAAAAACACTTACCTGGTGGGATTCGAACTCGGGACCTCTGGATCGTGAGTCAACTGCCTTACGTGGTAGACTACTTCTTAATTTAATGTAGTAAGTGTTATATAGTCTACATATGTCATAACCAGCGCAAATATATAATTTTTCAAAAATTATCTTAAGAAACAAATTCAGTTTAAAAAGAGTAATAAAATTTTGAATTAGATATATGATATAATATTTCTTAATGTCGGATGAATGTCAGAAACCAGTGTCGGCTCATTACGAAATTTTGTGTTCGTAAATATATTTATGAAAAAAATATATTTATAAAGTTAAAACATTCGTATCAAATTCTTACACAAGAGCCTCATTAGACAAAAATAAGAAAATCTTTCTTATAGCATCCTTAATAAATAATGATCGGGACCTCATCCGGTTAGCCCTAATAATTGTTGATGTACGAACTATGATCGAAATTTTCTCACGCGAATTCGTGTCAAAAAACGCTCTTTATCACAATTTCTATTCATAATAAACACTAATTAATATTCACTTTATTTACTAGATGTTTAATATACTTTGCCACCACTTCGATAACAGATGCAGATTTACGAAATTGCAGGTTAACATATATTCAGGCTAACATTTATCAAACCCTATGAGGGAAATGATGGGGACAAGAAAATCAGGCCCGTATAACAATAACCTGAAAAATGTTTAAAAAGAGCGTCCCTGTTCCATGGAACACGAGGCGGCGATGATCGAACCATCGCAGGAGCGTCGAGCGCAATTCAATTGTCGCGGTTGAATTTGTTAATTAACTAGGCAACGAAAAAATCAATAAGTCACGCGAATCTCCTTGGAATAGTCAGTCCATCGCGCCCTTCTTCGCAAACGATCATTTATACTGTGATATTATTTCACGTAAAAAGAGCCGAGTCTCATACACGAATACGCGATCGAGCCGAGTCTCGAGCACGCGAAAGAGCCGAGTCTCTCATACGAATACGCGATTCGAGCCGAGTCTCGATTACGGGGCCCTGTTCGCGATACCGAGTGTCGCTAATAATTCTTTATATACACGTATTCTCTAATTATTCATCCAATTGTATCTCACACAATCTCAGGGGGTTTTTATGCCTTAACAGGCTTTTCCCCCATGAGTCAATAAAGGATTATTTCCCTTGGCTCAAAATCACGACTTGTTTATTTCAAATCTCCGAAACCGGGAGACTTCTTCATGTTGAAGAGGTTTTCGACGATACAGTCCCGTTGCGCACCAGATCAGGCACATGTCGGGAATTTCTTATTAGGGCATACCTTACTGTTTCCCGATCAGGCGCTAACCATACATCGGGCGTGCCTAATCTAATTTCTGCTCGGGACCGCGATCTGAATACTTGGGTCGGAAATAATTTCAAATCTAAATTCAGTAAGCCGCGATCTTTGGACGGATGTTTATATCCCAAGGGCTGTTACACCGACCGGATTCTGCATGTCATATCTTTTTTGCACAACAATGTGCAGTCTATTTGTAGATGCTGTGAGAATGAGCTTTTTCTCATTTGCGGATTTTCTCATGTCGGGAATTTCTTATTAGGGCATACCTTACTGTTTCCCGATCAGGCGCTAACCATACATCGGGCGTGCCTAATCTAATTTCTGCTCGGGTTTATTTCGATAATATAATACCTTAATATTACTGCGTAATTGCTGCGTGATTTACGTTATAAAACAATTTGGTTACAAGGACGTATTGCGAAATAAGATGGATATTAACATCGTCGACAGATGTCGAATTCAAACTGAGTCCTCTTCGAAACGAATGGAATTGAAGATTGTAAGATAAATGTGTGATGTAATTTGCCAAGTCCTTCAAATCGGTGCATGTTTATTCAGCGTGGGATAATCGAGAATGGATTTGATCTAGAATCCGCAATGAGAAAAGTGGGACACCACGCAAAAAAGTGTGAAGTTAAGTGAAAATGATAGTTCACTACGTTAGCGTTGAGTATAACGAGTTTCACGTTGAATACATCCAACACGTGCGACTCCTCTACGCAAGGTTTAATAACTTCTGTAACTTTGTAGTAAAAGTGGTAATATGTTTATTGTAGAGTGGAATTTGTAGAGGGTTTAAAACTGCGTACAAATGAGAACGCGGAAGTGTAATCGAGCTAAAAGCATGGGTTAGTCCTCTCTTTTCTCGATATGTCATCATGAACAAAATACAAAGTCAATAAGGTTTTAACGAGTTTTGATAATAACATGTCTATCGCAGATTAATTCAACTAGATTCAAGTAGCCCTCAGGAATATTAAATATCTACCACTGTACAAAATTATTCATAACTTCTTATTACACGATTTATTATTTATAGAATAATCATTTATTGTGTTATTATATACCGATATTATAATAATAATATAATTTATGTTATGGATCATTTTATTACGATTCAAAATATTCAATTCGCTGTTTTAATGTAATATCCGGACGAGATAATGTATTATTTGCATATTACTGCATATTTGCGTCAAATTAGTTATAATTGGTACAGTATTTCCTTTTTTATTAGCATCTATATGTTTAATATGTTTAATAAATATTACATCATTTAAATGATTTATTTGACTGCCATATACATTTGTTGGTAATGTAGTACGTATGTATGTATTTATTAATCTACGCCTTGCGGCTTAGGATGGTTTGCGGTTTATATCAAATGCACACATATGGTTACATGTTTACACATTTACATAGTAACACAATTGCATAATTTTCATAACATAATTACTTAGTTTATGTATTATTACTGCATAATTTCCCGTGTCTCTTTAGATCTTTCACCCCCACATCCTCTACTAAATTCTCTAATTTATACCCATCAATTGCCAACTTAATATATATTCTCTTTTTGTCCTATCACATCCCTATCCCCTCTTTATTGCACACGTCCCTTCATACATAGCTTCTCGTTCCTTATTATAGTTATTATTTCCTCATTTCTTGCTTCTCCCTTCCTTCGTCTCTTCGCTTCTCTTCTCCTCTTTGTAGTAATATAATTTAATATATATAAACGCGAATGTTTACAAGATTAATGTATAAAACGCAACGTCACGTTTATCCTTAAGACCCAGATCTTTTTCATATTCTATCGCACAAATCCACAATTTATTCGAGCATGACATCAAGAGCTCTTCTAGTACGAGCCAAGCACGTAACACGAGATATCTACGTAAATACGATTTCGTCCGTCTGTGCAGTGTTACGCGACTTAGAAGGGTGGTTTGGAGGGGCGAAAAGCCTTTTTCAATAAAGCCCACTCAATAAAGCGGAAGAGAGCCCGATGACGCAGATGTCGCACACTTACAAACGAAGGTACGAGTCGGACGGGGAAGAATATCGGGATGTAAAGGTGGGCCCTGGGCTACTTGAGACACCATCGCGCCGTAGCCACCAAATAATGAGAAGAGCCCCGGGATTTAGAGATTACCAGCGCGAGAGCATTGCTAAGGGTATGATTTAACGATCGCCTCTTGGCGTGCAACAAGGCACACCGCACCAGTCGTGGGAGGTTTCAAGGGCAAACACGTGTTGCGAAAGCTCCGACGTAGATTTTCGGCGGATGTACATGCGTAGGGATACATTCGAGCTCTATGCGCGTAACGACGATGCGCACATTTCACAGAGTTTATGAAAAAAAGAGCTCGAGGTCAGTGGAAAATAGAACGAAATTCTTTGTTTACGCGCAAAGAGTATCAAAACGCCGATGTTTATTGCAATGACGTCAAAAACAAGCAAAGAGAACATTTTAGGGTAGAAAAGAGGTTTTAAAAATTTTATAATGTAATATAATAGTATATTTCTGCTTCGTCTATAATTTGAAGAAATATATATGCTTTATTCCTGCTGTTTTCTTTATTTTATAAAACATTTCTCTCTTTCCGCTTTCTTTCTTTATTCTCTATTTCCTTTTGTCCATCTCTCTGGATTTTTAATCGTGCACAAATGAAATTCATAATATTATATTTAACAAGAGTAATTACGTGTCAGTGGCAACGGCAGGATGACAACAAAACGTACAAATTAACGAACTAAAATAAAAGACCTTGAACGGAAAGAGAGGAAATTGGAGAAGAAACAAGAGAGGAAGAAAGGGCGCGACGAGAAAGTCTCCGCGTGTTGACGGAGCGCAAGAGGGAAGTATTACCCGGCACGAGTAACCAACAGAGACCTTCACCGAGACCGAGGAAGGTCGACATTGCCCCTGTGCCGTGTGCTCGTAGCACCCCGCTCCATATATAGTAGCGGCAGGCAGGAGCACCCTGGATAGTATAATCAGCCGTCACCAGCAATAGCGGCGGCGGCGACGGCGGCAACAGCGGTAGAGGTAGCAGCAACCCCTGCCGCCTATCACGGCATAAAGAGGACACCGTCGCCGCCGCCACCACCACTACTTTTATACATCACCACCACTACTACAATTTCTCTCCTGCTTACTGCCGCTCACCCTGGCCTAGAGAGATAGCCTTGCTCCTGTGTGACGACTTGACGGGGGTGAGAAGCGACCGTGGCAACGGGGGATGCACGAGGGTCAAGAAGGGCGAGGCGAGGGGTACGGCGAGGGGGATGGACGCAGGCGCGAACGCAGACGCAATAGGCGGACGAAACGGCGCCGAGCATTCCGGCGACGCCAGACAACGCGGCACAATCGAGACGAGATAATCGCTGTGGAACGGAGCTTTAAACTACCCCCGTGGCTATCCACCTACACAGTCGGTCCGCAGCGTTCGATCGTGCATCGACGATATGGGAGTTGTGAAGACGGCGTCGGAGAGCATCCTCGAGGAGACCGTGGTGCCGAGCGAGGAAGCGAATTATTCGCAACAGGGTTACGCCGGTAAGTGAGTTGATTCTTTTTTTCGTGGTTTTACGTGCAAGAAAAAAGTAGAAGCTCTCTCTCTCTCCCTCTCTCTCTCTCTAGAGAGAGAGGAATCGCGAGGCCGTATTCGGACGGAATCGGATGGAGCGCAAATGTATCGAGCGCACCCAGTAGTATCAAGTGCCGCGATCAAGGTCGCCCCATCGCGATCGTTCGCTTGCTCCTTCGCGTTTGGTTGCAGACCGGCTTCGGCGCAGGAATTCGTCCTGCTCGCGACGCCGTAGCTTTAAAGGCGATGTGACGAAGCCGCCCACCCGAGAGCGACTGCTAACAGGTGTTTGGAGATACAGATATACCGCTCGCGGTGTTCTCGTGCACCAGCATCGACGGAGAGATCTTGGCCGTTGTAACGTCGGGCCGTACTCGCAGACGGTCGAGCACCAGCTTGAATTCGCGACGATTTGCGTGACCCTAAGGAATGCCAACGACGTCGTTTAAACGCGAAATTTTCGGCGGATCAGTTGTCCCATCAATTAGACTCTAATTAGCAGATTGAATTAATCCACGTCTCACCAGGCCGTAACACACAACAAATTATTAAAAACATATTTTTTCGAGTTTAGAGCTGAACTGGACTAAAAGGTAGACGAAATTTAATTTAAATGTTGAAGATTGACAGAGAGACTGTTACTTCGAAATTTGACGTTGAGTCACACGTCAGCGGTTAATTGCATTACATCGCGTTCTGGTAGTTTACAGCATATCAATTGAACCGTGTAACACGTATATTGAGCTTTCGGCATGTCTTAAAATTAAAGCGATACGCGCGTGATGTATCATCAACACGTTAATGTTATTGGCATCGCGCGTTGCTAATATCGCGACTTGAGTGTGATAGCGCACGGCATGCCGCGTCCAGTACGAAAAAGCGAGGCTTTAACACTATTTATACTTGCAAGAATCGATAAGTGCCGCAATCAAGTTTTACAAAGAACAAGGCGACTTCGCCTCTGCGTCCCCTCGCTCTGTGACAGTGTCGGCGGAAATTAGCAAAGTACGATAGATAGAAACATCGCCTGTCGATCATTCGGGTGGGTGATGCCTGATCCAGATCTACTTTCAATACGGATATTGCATTGTATTGATTAAAACGAGGTTACAATAAACTGACCCAATTTCTGGCCGGTAGGCGTAAGTTTCGAATCGATTAGACCGCGCGAATTAAAGTCACGTAGAGCATTTACAAGCTAATTGGCCGCATTGTATTTCCTTAATTTTCGAGTTTACTTTCATATGCGGCACGCCCGAGAATAATTTACATTCATCGTGTGATTTCCCGTTTATTTTCGCGGACGAATTATTCATAAAATCGCTCTCGGTCCCGCGGACATAAAGAGTATTTTCACATGTTGTCGAAACATAATAAAATTAAAATAAAACAAGACAAGGTACGTTGCGTGGATGTATCCGTCTGTAAAAACATTTTATGTTGTATTGTAATGCGAAAATTAATCAATCTCGCTGCAGGAACTAAATTGAATTTATTTATTTTATATATCGCTCGTAAAACAATAATACAGGAAGATACATTTTACGAAGGTATTAAGCTTGCTGTGGTGAAAAGTACAAATAATGTGGAATTTTTGCCCTTGGCCCCAAATAACTACCAAGCGACTCAATAGGAAACTCCACGATCCCAGAAGAAACCACACTTAGGCATTCGCGCTTTCAAGGGAAGCCATAAATTGATAGCGGGGTATTAAAGGATGGAACAGTTCAACGTAATACTTGATACACTATCCGCTATCATTATAACGATATTAATATATTAGCTGCGTAATTAAGCTTTACGTAGCACATAACTTGCGTAAAATTTGAGTTATAATGACGTCAATTAACTAATTGTAATGATGTAATTTTAAATGAGCAAAACAAGCTGTCTATGACAATTTTATTTTTAACAACAGAGTACTATTTTGCTCTTATTATACGAAAATACATTATTACGAACCATTTTCAACGTTAATTAACTAGGCAAATAAAATCTTCTGTCTTACAACCTTTCATCTGTTTGTAGAGCAATTAATATCACGATATAGAAAGGCGCAAATTAAGTGGGCAGAGTTAAGCAAACTGATATTTGCCAGCTGGATCGCACACAAGGATAACAAATCGAAAATTAGATACGACTTGAAGTCCAGGAAATAATTCAGTTGCGAAGCATTACATGATCGATCGCCTATTGCAAGTTTAAAACGTAACGTTTCCTTGTGATATCACTATATTAGCGCCATAACTCAAATTATATAAAAATGTGATAATCAAACAGTCTTATAAAGAAAATAGTGATACATTTTTTTAGTAAGTTTTATAAAGTTAACTTAAAGTGTTGTGTATTGGCAGTAACTTTTGAAGTGATTATAACTTTTGAAATGTGTAAGCTTTCCATAGATATAGTCTACCCGGTCAAGGACTGTAAACTTTACTGAAATCCTTTCAAGAAATCGCACGTGCACAAAATCTAGGCATTTATAAAGCAAAGATTTGTCTTGAAGCTCTAAGCTCTTCTTACGCATTTGCTTTCCAACAAAAGTTAATCCGTTTTATTTAATAACTCTTTGTTTCCATAATGCAATTTATACGTGTGTAAAATGTGATTTCGTATCTAAGAGATAAATCCTTTGTAGACGTCACTTCGAACGGTCAGCTTGAAACGCTTGTTGCACAACAGAATAGCATAAGCGCTTGAATCCAAAATCAAATATAAATTGAAGATATAGAACGAGTATCATACTCAATACGATAAAATGAGAGAATAGCGAAAAATTATAATAATTTTATTATTTTTTTAATACCAAATATGTAATTTGTAATTTAATTTTGAAAAATACCAATATATGTAAATATGTAATTTAATTTTAATGGAAGTGCGTGCTACGGAACAACTGAACATTGATCTCTATGGAAATATGTACTTTAATTTAAAAAAATACGTAGTAAGAGAGAAGAGATTATTTAAGTACGTCATGTTATATTTAGTACACATTGCACGTGTCTAAAAGACAAAGTCACGTCTGGATGAGCACCGGCATTATTGGGTTAAAAAAATAACGTTCGCATAAAAAAAATCGTCACAGTTAAGTTAACAAAGTTATTATGCATGAAAAGTTGATATTGAATATCAAAGAGGATTTATATTGTCTTTTATTCAGGTGTCCGGTAGAATTCGTGTGATCTTTAGATATATTAAAGTAACAAATGTCAACATATAATAATCGTTAAAATGATTGATAGAATATGATGAACGTTTTGAGATGCAATTGCATTTTCGTCTTTAGCTTGCACTATGTCAAACATTCAGATTAGTAAAAACTTACTATCTGCTTTAAGAATAATTTGACCAATTTGTTAAGCTTTGTCTTCAAATTCATCGGTTATTGATTCAGCGAAATTCAATTCCTCCGTTTCAGAGTCATTAATTCCTTCATACTCGGAGCTCCGTTCAAGAATCGAAATCGCATCTATCTGCCTGCCTACGTCCTGCATTTCACTTTTTTCTATTTTGTCCGTGGTAGATAATTCATCCTGCCTTTTCAGGAATTGCGCTACATCAGCCTCCAATCCTTCCCTCGGAAGGACATCGTTTTGTTGCCGGCCGATAGCATCCAAGAGCATGCTCATTGTTTCCGTATAATCCGGCTCGAACATTCTTCCCTCGGGATTCTTTTTAAATAAATACTCGGCCTGGAACGGGAATATATTTCTTACTCAGTCAGTGCGATATTTCAGCGCGCCGTGAGTTTGGAGGTCGAATAACAATAAGTATTTTGATAAATAATTTGATGCCTGAAAATATTTTATAATAAATATAAAAAATTAATTAACTTGCAAATAAAGCACAGTACAGCGTCGGTTAATTATGAGATATAAATAAAAGTAATGCGATGCGTGTTTTATTACATATAGAACTGACTTAAAGTACTTTAACTCACAATTCTTTTTTTAATTGAAATGCGTATATGAAACTTTTTCCGGCTGTTAATTTCTATAATTAACCCGGATGTTTCTGCATTCTTCACTCGTACGTGAGAATACGCGAGATAGAATCGACCTCATAATCTGTTTAAAACGGGTCGTGTACCATCATCCCCTATCTACAACCAATATTACGACCCACTTTCACTTTCAATGTCACTCGTCCCACTTCGCTCTGATTTTTACATCAGAATTCTTCTTGTGATTCAACGTAGGACAACCTACGCATCGTTTTACCTTCACACCATTTCAATTCTCCATATATCGCGCGAAAGCTTTGCCATGGTTTTATTTCTAACTGCAACAATGATTGACACAACAATGCAGCTATCATAAATGCTGCTACATAGTTTCACTGTAAACAATACCTAATGTGGGATCGTTCGATAAGCGGAAATGGCGATCGACATTTATAAAATGTGAAAGTTATTACGCGAGAAACCGTTATATATTATTATTCTGGAATTGTTTATTGTAGAAATATATTAAACGCTGCGCGCACAGGTCCATTATTTTCTATTATTAGATATATACCAAACTGATGGTATACAATGAAATTTGACTATGAAATTTGACAATTAATAATGATAGAAATTTAATGATGTTCCCTTTTGCATTGTTTTGGAGTACTGAATTATTATACGCATGAATATCAACACCGATTGCGTGAGGTTTGTCGCTGTTAATAAATTATACTTCTGCGCTAAGCGTCATCTCCGTATTTTACGTGTGCATGAATACCTATGTGGCGCCGGTACAATACGAGCCGATACGAGTGCCACAGAATACTTTAACAAATGAAAATATAACTAATTTCGTAAATGATATCTTACGTTACAAAGATAATCCACACTGCTCGAAAATGTTTTAAGCAAATGAGTTAAAATACAAAATTAATTAAAAAAAAAAAATAAAAGTATATTATACTCTGATTTCTTTATATATAACATACATTTGTATTTTTAATACAATTTTTTCTCTTC